GTAGTTAACATGAACTAACAATGACAAATACTTTTAAAGTATTTATTAATCTTAGTTCATATTAATTCTGACATCTAATGGATTATTAAAATCAAAAGTTATTATTTAATGGACCTGAGCTGACATGAACTAACAATGAACAGTTGTATTTTGATTAGCTAACATTAACAAAGATTCAAAAACACTGTAACAAATATATTGTACCTTACTGTAAAGTGCTATCCGTATAATAAAAACAATATATTATTATATTTATATTTAATTAGAAATAAATTAACCTTGATTTTCCACAATAAACCATAAAAATCTGTTGTGTGTATAATTATATATACTGTATTAATAATAATTATTATTATTATTATTATACCTTATTATTATTTATATCTAAATATTTAAAAATATACAAATAATTAATGAATTTACTAATTAATATAAACAATTGATTCTCATTAAATAATAATTAATAATTATATTATCCGTTAATAATACATTACTGTTCACCTCGCTATGCGGTCTACCAATAATAAAATTCATAAAAAAACTTCAAGCAAGTCGGATTAAATATATACAGAGTTGTGTCACCTGAATGCCCTTCTTTTCAGTGAAATTACAAATTAAAATATAACTCACTCTGCCAACATTACTAATATACATCTACAGACAAACCAAAACTATTTTATCATTATTAATAATATTATTATTTTAAATATCTAAGGTGAGAAAGATTTGATCTTGTGACCTTTCATACACAATGCACGAAATCCTCACATCTTATTAAGGAGTAAATGGCTGAACCTCCAGAAGCTGAAATCCTGGAATTGTCTCTTTCCTGCTCAGTGACAGTAAACGCACTGAACTCATCTCAAACATTAACATGTTAACACTGGCAGCCCTAGTTTACAGCTGAACTTTTAAAAGAGTCAGAGCCGATCAGAGAACTGACTCAATAGACGGTCCTCCATTTCTTTCATCAGTCTCTCTCTTATTTAGAGTGCTATCAGATGCCGACATTTAGATGAATGTTGGGCCTCGGGAGTGAATCTAACCTTTCTGCTCCCAGTGTGTGTGTGTGTGTGTGTCTTAAATCTCTCACAGATCTGCCTGATATTACGCTTTGCCTATTGCAACACTTCTCAAAGTGCGGCAGAATTCCCTACACTTCAATCTGTCGCATTTACTTTCTTCTGTTCAACCAGTCATTATCTTCAAATCAACCTCTTCAGTGTGTGTGCGTGAGTGTGTACCTGAAGCCCACGATGGGGAACTCTTTACAGATATTGCACTTGGCCTGGTGTTTGGCCGTTTCTGCTGCCGCCACTCTGTGCAGGACCGGAAGCCAAACCATCGACTGCGGCTCCAGCCTCATCCAATCAATAAACTGCCTCGGCTCCAGCTCCAACTTATTGGTCACCTGAGAACAGAGAGTCAGCACAAACAGCCAATCAGGGAGGGATTTCAGAAAGCCCATAACAAGCATGAGAGAATAACTCATAAACAATGCAGCCTGTCTGAAATCAAGATGACGGACGGAGCATTTCCTTCCAGACTACCGTAAATGACTGTCAATCGCACGGCTGCATTTATAGAGATATAACAGCCTCATAAATATTTCTGTGAAGACGGAGCATTCAGTGATTCAGTCACACTGCCTGCAGTTACCGGGTGATTTTTAACCAGTGCAATGCTAGGAATATTAGCTAACTGTAAGCATAGTACATTTCATCTGTCATACAGCCCATCTATGAATTCTCAGAAGGATCTCTGTAAACTCTGTTCACAGTGATGCACTTATAACTTATAAGTCAATGAGGCGAGACATTCTGAAGGGTTTAAAAGCAGAATGTCCTGTTTGTGTATTTGTTAAAGAGCTTGTATTCATATTTTTGTATAAATAGATGTATTATTTGAGCTGTGAAGCCTTTAAATCATCCTTTTTGCGGTGGGAATACTGTTACATGTGGATAAAGGTTACCGAGACATAATTACTGCTGTAATTCTGTACTTCTCTGCTTATAAACAATCTTTCTGGTATTATTGCACATATCATGTGAAAGTTAATGGGCTTAGTGTTTTTAAATCAAAGTTGAAAGAATGGTTAACACAAACAAATTTAATAAATGATTCTTTACATTAATGGAAAGGGGAAACAACAATAAAAACTTAGACATTTCTCTTTTTTTGCATTCTGGAGAAGAAAGTTTAACAGATTTATACGTGTTTATATTTATATTATATATGGAACGATATGTGGGTGAGTAAATGATGACCGAATTTTCATTTACAGCTCATGAACTATCCCTTTAACATACAGTATTTATTGATTATTATATTTTTCAAAACAGCTTGTATTTTAATGTTTATCCTGTCTGTCTTCCATTGTAAGTGCCTTTCTATAAACATGATTTGCATTTGATTTTACAAACTGAGGACTGAGCTGAAATGATTTTCTGTAGAATCGTCAGAATGCCAAAGATGCGGCCTATGGAGCTCGTTTGATCCTGGAACATTCCTGCAATTATTTCAACTCTGCGGTAAACAAATTCTCATATTTCAATTTTACAAAACAAATGAGACAAAGGCAAATAAATGATCAAATAAGAAGGGATTTTGGCAGGAATGTTTCTGTTGTACAGCAGCAACATTCTTGGCAGTGATGTCAGCAGTGGAACGTACCCATGCAAGAGTCTTTAAATGTCACTTAGCATTGAGACACACACACAGACACACACAGACAGACACACACAGACAGACACACACACACAGACAGACACACACACACACACACAGACA